CGCAGCAAAGAAAAAAAAAACGACTCATCACAAAGTTTTACCCTTTGATTTTGATCTCATCCTTCCCCAAAAATTCAATTTACCAAAGTTGAAAAACGGGTTGTATAGATTCGTTTCGTTTCGTGGTAATTCGTACCGTAACTGAATGAAATGAATCGAATCCTCTTTACAAATGAATTATTTCCCGTGCAACCAAACATTTCAAGTAGTTAGATTAGGGAAACATAAAAAAATAGGAGAAATATTACACAAAATATAATAAATCTATACAGAAATTACGGCAATTAGTAAAGCACCGTAACACGGCAACCTTTTCTTCTTTTATATATGTTAAAAGGAAATAATGTAACCAGCCATTCTATCGTTAAAACATAAAGCCCAATTTTATATTTTATATTTTTATATAATGTCATATGAAAAACTATTATCATCACTATTACCAGAAAGAAAGCAATTTGTATTTAAAATTCATAATGAAATGCATAATAATACAGTAATTAAAAATTCTGATGAAGAAAGTAGAAAAGATTATTTTTTTTCATTAGTCCAAAAAAACACAGAACTTTCTAAAAATGAAAAGGAATATTGTAAAGAAAAATTTATTTATGGATTTGAATTAAATAATGCAGTGTGTAAAAAGGGAAAACCAAAAAAATGCAATGAATGTAAATTGACAAGATACTCTGATAGATTCTGTGAAGGTTGCATTAGTTTACAATTACAGAATCTTTTCACTACTTGGACATCCGGGAATAACATAGTTGATAATTTTATTCAACAATGTCAAATAAAATCATCTTTGCCAAACTATATTTTGGAATGGATACCTTTTAAGCAATTTGATGATATAAAAAAGTTAACTGAAGGTGGATTTAGTTCAATTTATACTGCTACATGGACAAGAGGAAAAATAAACGATTACAATGAAAATAAAAAGGAATTTAGTTACTTTGGAGAACATTATGTAGTATTGAAAAGTTTAAATGATTCAAGTAATCCAGGCAAAGGCTTTTTTGATGAGGTTAGTAGTTATCATTTAAAACCAAAATAAACAATACCATGTTATATAATACTAATTGATTTTATATTTATTTCAGGCAATAAATTATTGTAAAATTAAATCACATATGATTGTTGCTTGCTATGGTATAACTAAATCCCTAGATAATAGAAAATTATGCAATGGTTTTAAATTATCATTCAGATAATCATGCTGCTGCAAAGAATTTCTTTGCCATTCAACAAAAAATTTTTAAATGAAAGAACAAAATATATTGAAGACAGTAATGGTAAGTAATACAGATAAATTTTTTCTATAATATGCAACATTTACTTTTGTAATAGGTTATATTTTTATATTATAAAAACACTATTATTAGCTTATTTTTTATATATATTTAGGAATGCAATGATTAAATTAAAATTAATGATTGTTTATATCTCTGACTTTGCTCATTTAATTATTTATCAAATATTTACCTCAATAATGACATTAGCAGGATCTGATGTTATTAATTTATAATACATAATATATATAAAAAAGTAGATTTTTTTAGGAATGATTTTGATACAATGTTTTTATTTTTATATATATAAACAAATAATAAATTAAAAAATATAAATGCTTAAATAAATTCATCCTTCACAAACTTTGCTTTGAAAGCTTCATATATCTTGTATAACTATTGAATAATTGATAAACAAAGCCGTTTATACCGAACGCCTTATTTCTTTGGATTCGTTAAACATTGCAGGCAAATTGGGGGATTGATATACAAATGTAACCAATCAAATTAATTAACGAATTTTATCTAATAATAAATTAACGAAGAGGGGGGTCATGTCACGAAGGGTCAACACCCAACATGGGTTACCAGCCACAGTCCCACTTCCTCAAACTTCCTACAACATTTTAAGTGAGTCATATGGATTCTTCATGAGTACTAGTAATGGAAAATTAGCCTTATATACCGACTTTTTCCTAAATTATGGGGTACAATTCACCAACGTTTCATTGGATAAATTCCATATATTTACTTTATTTTATTGTGTAAGCTAATGAAAATAATGGAAATAAACAAAAAATATACTTTTAACATTATTCAATAGAAAAGGTAGAGTTTGTACGGTAGGCAGGTTTGTGGAAACAACAAGATGTATGATGTACGAAGATTGCAAAGCAAGTTTTTGTAAAATATACTGATTAACGTTTATCAATTATTCAATAGTTATATAGGCGAAGTAATGCTTGCAAAGCAAGTATTGAAGTAAATATTAAAGACAAGATCTACGAAGCTTGCAAAGCGAGTCACAACATTGTTGGATAATGAATAAATAAAAATACCAAATATAACTCTATTGGTTTCATCTAAACAACTCTTCTAGGCCATGTGTGCATCTTATTGCCGTGATTCAGTTGGATCATTATTCATACATTGTTAAAATGATTGCCGAAAGCGGTACGGTTGGAAATTAATGTTCAAATAAATGGTTTGTTAACAATTTTTCTATCAAAGTTATAAACCAGATTATGATTCAGTAACAAGTATATAAAAATTTTTCTCGTGTTGATTCGAATCTGGCGCTTTATAAATATATTTATTATATAAAATTTAAATATTTACATTATATAATAAGAAAAAAAAAAGTATTTAAATCAAACTTTTTCAGATAATTCTTTTTCTTCACTACCATCTCCACCTTCGTCTTTATTTTCCTCCTTGTCTTTTTCGCCGCCTCCTTTCTCATCACCATCTTTATTCCCACCACCACCTTTACTATCGCCAACTTTTTCCCCACTTCCTCCTCCACCTGGATCTTGACTTTTTTTCTCTAATAATAATTTTTGATCTTTAGGTTGTTTTGTTTTTTTACTTTTAGCAGTCCTTTTCTTTAACCAATCGTCGCCAAAACACGGTTGACACAATAACAATCTTGTGATTAATTTGAATGCTGTGTAAACAATCAATTCATCCTTGTTCAATCTCCAAGCATCCGCCATCCATTGAACAATATTCAACAACGATGTCATAATAATAGCACAAATTGATACCATATATGTTGCCTTGGCAAAAATCGCCGCATTCTTAACCGCCAATGTAATATGTGTCGAATTCCCAGGTTGGATTTGGTCACCATTCTGATCTTCTGTATCAGGTCCAGGCTGATACCCTGGACCAATCGCTGTCTCGTTACCAGTAGCAAAGGGCTCTAATGCCTCATTTCGATATCCAATAGCGTAAATTGCAGCAACGACAATTAATATTTGGCTAATTACACCAAACAATTGCGACAATCTGGCATCGAAACTTCGAATTGATTGAATATAATCATTTGATCCAGGAATAATCACATGTAAAATTTGGAATGGTCCGCCGAAATACATCGGACCATCAATGAGTTTTGGAATCTTTTTCCCTAATGCTGTATACACGAGTCTAGCCAACCCAACTATTCCAAATAAGGAGGTTTGTAAGGTTGTTGTTGCACCAGATATCTTGCCTACCAAATCCAAATCACCAAAATCCCACTCGTCGATCTTAAACGATTCGAAAAACAATTTTATAAAAAAGTCCTGAACTGACTCAGAATCACCTAATTGCGTCAACCAACTTATAACCAGGGAAGAATAGTATAATCCAATTGTTATAAAAATATCCAATTGATTTATACGAGCAGTGATCAATTCAGTTTCTTTTGCTCTTTCTTCTTTTGAATCATTATCAATTGCTTTTATACCTTCTTCTATGTTGTCTTTTATATCCAATTTCTCTAGTGCTTGCAAACCACCAAAAACAGCTTCCGGTTTAATTCCTACAATCGATGGTCCATCTTCATCTTCACCTGGCCCTATACTTTGAATTGTACTAATTAATTTTACATTTCCACCAGGATCACCAATATCAATGCTTGAATATTCTTTATCTTCTTTTTCAGGATCGGGATTATTTTCAGACATTGTTATACATTAGTATTAATTATTAACAATTAATTTGAAAAAAAAAGTCTAAAATTTTTATAATCAGTAAATGGTTTTTTAAATTTTTATAGAAAAAATTAATGAAAACTATCAAAGCCACACACAATCACACTCGCAAAATGTTGTTTTCCACACTGCCACACGATATATTAATATGTTAAATTATAGTAATTTCTAATTACAATGTTTATTTATCTAAATTGCCATCGACATCGAACCAGCCAAATCGATTAAAGAACTTTTGTACATGTAACTGAACAAGAAATTGCGTAGATTAAAGAAATTTTAATTTGAAAAATAATAAATAGTGATTTATTTGATTAGGTTGATTTCTGAACATTCTTTTTGGAGTTTAAATATTTTGCAATTCTAATAATCTATAGTGTTTTTCCATTTGATTATGCAGCCTTTTTATTACTATCAGTTTATGTGCAGTTATGTGGTGGGCCAAAATAAATGGAATTGTGCATAGAGCGAAAATTTTATAGGCAAAAAATAATAATATCATCAAAGAATATAAAACAAAGTTATTTTTTCAACTATATAGAAAAATATTTTTTTTTATCGTGGTTTCACATTCCTGATCAAATTTTTAATGATTCCCAATAAAAAAAATATAAAAAATAGAAGATCTATGAAATATACAAGTTGTTATTGGTTGTAATCTAATCTAATACTTGTAAAACAAATTACTCTACTTTTATTCCATTTAAAACATCATTCATATTTGGATGCAATAATTTCCACAAGTTTTATTTTTAACCTGGCTACTCACGCTCAGAAGGAAATCTATCTACGATATTTACTGTCAAAAGAAATAGCGTTTCAGGAAACACATAAAATTTATAATGAACTTCGACAATTCAGCTAATAAGATCTCTCTCGTATTCCGTCTAATTCAATTCGTGTTGAATATGGTTTGGCATAATTTCGTTGTGATTGAAAAGATATTTCACATTTTAAGTGTTCAAACATATCCATTACATACTCTGCTACCACCATCATTGGATTTCTAGGTCAAGGTCATCCCAATCCCGAGCTTTCTATTTCTTTGAACGTAATGTTTCTATTTCATTTTCATAAATTATAGATAGATTCAACGGTTCCAACTAGTATTAAATCAATTAAAACATGTTGATGTTTTATTGAAATGTATATATATATATATAATATGTATATATACCTTGTATTGATAAAACTTTCTGTCTTCTTTCTTTAGACTTTGTGGTACTATTTGATAATGTGGATTTTTCGACTTTGATGTTAACATCTGGGGTTTTCAATTATAATGCTGTTATACTTAAATTACTAGTTGATCCACTATTGTTGTTAATGTTGTTAAAACTGTTCTTTTGCGTTAAAATACATTGAGAATAGGAGCATTATTAATGTGTTTGTTATTGGTTTTTATTAACCAATGTTTTAGTTGCATTATTAACTTCTTTAATTGAAATGTCCTTTCCGTCAACTACATTTTCGTCACCTTTAAGATTGTTCTGCGTGGTTGTTGCACCTAATTGATTCAGTTAATTAAATATAAAATGCAACTTTTTTTAATTGTTCGTTCACATAAATAAATACATGGTTCTTTTTATTGATTCCTAAAATATTTGTAAACACTATAAATCTCTTAAATGTGTATATGTGGGGTATGTCTCACACGTAATTAGTTACACCAACAAATTTTTGTAAAATTTCCAATTTTTTTAATTAATCAATTCACGATTACTTTAATAAAGCAACAACAATAATAAATAATAA